CACTAGTCAGAGCACGTCTGAGAGGACTGGGTACTCAGCACTCACAAGCTGACCCCCTCATATGTCCCTGGACTCAGCTGGCTGGGTTTCACAGCAATGCCACACTGCACCCTCATGTGCCTTTGGACTCCGTGGGCTGGATTAAACAGCACTTTAAGCTGCCATCCTCATAAGCCCCCAGGTTCAGCACCCCCTATCCCCACTTTCACCCCACAGTCATTCACTGGTAAACCACACAATGAGCAAACCCCACAGGATTTTGGGCACTACAGGGATCTTTAGCTTGGGTACAAGAAGCATTGTTGCAGAGTGAATGGGGAAGCCAAAACAACACCCCTTAGGGAAGAGTGAGCAAAAGCTGCCATCCTCATAAGCCCCCAGGTTCAGCACCCCCTATCCCCACTTTCACCCCACAGTCATTCACTGGTAAACCACACAATGAGCAAACCCCACAGGATTTTGGGCACTACAGGGATCTTTAGCTTGGGTACAAGAAGCATTGTTGCAGAGTGAATGGGGAAGCCAAAACAACACCCCTTAGGGAAGAGTGAGCAAAAGAGAAAGAAAGAGAGAGAGGCAACCAGCTTAACAATGCAAGTTATTTATTTCTGAGTAGTGAATAGATATCAAAAAGTTTCAATTTAGATTTAATATTGTAACTTATTACAAATGTTAGGTAACCATATAACAGTTTACATAGGGCAGGGTCAGGAGGCTATGCTTAGAGAGGTAGTTGATGGGAGAGAGAGACAGAGAGAGAGAGAGACCTCACCACTCCATGAAGCCGGCACTGATTGGGGTTTCCAGATGATGATGGTAGCCGGGGGTCCAGAGGGCAGGAGACAAGCAGAACAGAGCCCCCAGCACGATCAGACAGGAGATGATGCAGTTTAAATCCAGGTATGGGAACAGTTTTTCTTGGGGGCAAGGATAGGCGTTTTTATAGGGATAGTTCAAAGAGAAAGAGGAGAGACAATAGATCACCCCTGGTTATGGGTGATGTTCCTTGAAGAAGCTCACAATGCAACTAGGCAGTTTCAGTATTTTAGATGTCAATAGGATCGTTACTAGAACTGGTCTGATCATGACTAATTTGGGTGAGAGCAGGCCTGGGTTCATTAGCATCTGGAGCAGGGATTTCCCATCAGGCAGTGCTTCTCTGCTTTCGGTGTCCCATAGTTCACTGCAGTTCCTGCCTTGGAAGAGCTGCTCTCCATTCTGTATGCTAATGAGATGTCCCTCTGTTCCATCTTTAAGGCTGGGGTGTTTCCTTAATTGTATCATCCTTGTCTGAAGCAGTTTAGGTGGATCTTTCCGGGCCTTTTCATTGCTTTGTCTTTGAATC